CAGCTCGTGTGACAAATGAGGCCCTGGGAGCCCGTTACCACAGAAGGTGCCTCTTTATTCCGAGCAAGTCACCCCACTCCAGGCGGTCGCTGCAGGCCCTCGCGTTTCCTCTCGTCTCTTGGACTTTCTCTCATGTCCCTGGAATCTTGTTCTGTCCCGAGGCCAGGCCATCTTCTTGGGGCCTTTCTATTTGCACCCTTCCAGATTTTTCCCCCTTGAGACCTCCCTCCTCCCTCTGTCCTGAGCTCTTTTGATGCGTCTGGTTTCCCGAGTAAGAAACTCACTGACCCGCCCCCTGGGCCTCACTCCCTTCTCCCCTGGGAGTGGAGGGTGGAGTTGGGTGCAGGGGAGACAAGCGGTTCCTCAGCTTAAAATCTGAGCTGGGTACCCATGTGCTGTGAGCAGACTGAACCTTGGGGACATGCTCCTGTCTGAGTGTCCCGGCCACCCATCACCCTGCTCAAGTACCCCTCTTTCCCCTTTCTCCTCTTTTTCCTCCTCCTAAATCCAGCTCAAAGGATCGGTTTCTGTCCCCCCTTCTCCATATGTCTGCCCGCTCGGGACCCCACGGCCATTTCCTTCTCGGAGGCCTTCTTGCATCTGCAGTGAGACCCGGCGGGTTTAGATCTCAAGTGCTCTACCTTCGCTTCTTACAAGTTGACCTTGACCCTCTGAACTGTGGAGAAGTGCCTCACAGAGGCAGAAACAAGGCAGGCGCCTTGCTGGTGTTTCTCCAAGCCTCCCACGCCTCAGCCCTGCCGGCCACGCCAGTGGGAGTGGGTGTGTGTGAAGAGCCGCAGAGTTGTTTTTATACCTGCAGCTCATCAGGATGGTTCTTGCCTATCAGACAAGCATTCATAGTTGATGATAAAGTAGTGCCATCAGGTTGCATTAAAGACATATTTATCCGTGACTAGACTTAGTAATGACGTCCTTTCCTCTTAAGGAGACCCACCCCCAATTCTTTTCTTTATGGTCACAATGGTTTGTAACCATTATTAGGCTTCGTTATGGTGTCTCCTTGTGGACTTGAAATGGAACCTGCCTGTGGAGGTCAACAGAAAATCGTCTCGGCCAATGATAGAGAGAGCCGGTGGCGGGGCGGGGGGCGGGGGTGGGGAGGGGATGTGGCTGCGGGGTGGGGGGGGTGCTGCTCCACGCCTCAGGGCCAAGCCAGGAGCATAAGTGATGTTTTTAATACCAATGTAGAGTTTAATGGCTCCTGATTTTTAACTGAGAGCTAATCAGAAATGGTTCCGTTTACAACTTCATGCTTAGAAAATCAGAACAGAGGCACACGGATCTTGTGACTTAATGTCGGAGACTTCCCTCCTCCTCCCACAATCCAAATTATGATGAGTGAGATTTCTCCTGGTTTCGACTGAAGCCAAATACTGTGTGTCCTCTAAGCTTCGAACCTCTTAGGTCAAAATTCATTTGAAAGGACTAAACCAGGCGACTGTGGGAAAGCCAGCTGCCAGGTATTAAGAGTCCATTCCCTGGGACTTGAGAAGCAGGCAAGCCCCCTCCAGAGCGTGGAAGTCTTTTGCATACCTGCATGTTTTCGCCTTATTTGTGACCTTTGACCTTTGTGAATTGAAGATCTGCTGCTGCTCTGGTTTTAAGGATATTTAGAAATCGAAACTTTAACATATGTCTCATGGTAACTCACCCCAGCATTTATTATTACCACTCAAATTCATGAAATGGCTATTTGGATTTTAACAACCAGGAAGAGTTAAGAAAAACCCTTGGCTGGAAACCCTTCAGAAGTATCTAATTAGGCTGGAGTTGTGTTTCACAAAATGGAGCAATGCAATCCTTTCAGCATTACAGAAAACAGTTGTTTGAGCCTTTTATCAGATTGGCTTTGGAGGTTAATGAAGGACAGAATGGGCACACATGGATTTATGAGCATTTAAAAATAATTTTAAAAACTTTTGTGTACACTTAAAACCGAGATGCCTCCCTCGTTCTAGATAGATTGCCTCAGGAAAAAAGATAAAAATGTTTGCGTCTGTAATTCAGACTTAGGTAGATTGGGCAAGACCTGGTTCTAGGTCTTCGTGGGAACTACAAGGTGCCAGTGCCTTGTTTCAGGAGAACGGCCTCAGCCTCTGACGCCAGCTGGCGTTGGTGTCCGCTGACCTCCCTCGAAACATGAAAGGCATGTTGCAGACCCAGTGCCGTTGCGACAGCAAGCAGTGAACTCAGAGCTGATTAGGGAGCACCAGCCGGGAGGCAAGAGCCAGCACGAAGCCTTTGAGCTTTATGACTGCCGCATTCGTGCCCTCTGGAAACTTAAGTGGGTGTGCACACTTCCTTACAGGTACATAGTTTGTTAGTTTATTTTGTACCCGTAAAAGATGGCAGGTTCCCGTCACAATTCACAGGCACAGAAGCCAAGCTCTGTATTTCGAGCAGGAAGGGGTTTAAAAAAGGGTTTGCATTGCTGCTCTTGTGGAAGGGCTAGGAGGGGAGTGATCATGAAGGACGGCTCTTGCAGATGCCCCTGATCACTCCACGGCATTGCAGAGCCCATGGCTCCTTATCCCTTTGCCCCGTGTGGTGGAGAGCGGTGACAAGCGCTGGCTGACTTCTGCAGCCGCCAACCACTGTTGTCACAGCCATGATGGGAACTGGAGCTGTGGCTGTAGCCAAGAGAGGAATCCCTGCTACCTCCCTGCCTCTGGTCTTGCACGAGTTCCCCCAGTTGGCAAAGGATTCTGGGAAATGTAGTTTCCACACCTCCAGCTCCTGGGATGCAGAACAAAGCACAGAGGGCAGAGGATAAGTGGCCCTCACAGTACTTTAGATGGCATCATAGCCCCTTAGAAAGTGTGACATCATCGCATTTTAACCATTTAGACATTTATTTTTAATTAATTTTAATGTGAAGTATGAAAAAGTCAATTTGACAATTTCTCTTGTGGGAGTGAAAAGATGACCAGTTTTGTGTTAAAGAATATTTTGCAGGTTTAAAGGATATTTGGGGGACATTTTAATTTGCACAATTCAAAAGCAGCTAAACAAATGCATTGCAACAATAGCTCTCTCTAGGCCTTGAAAAGCATGCCTGTATCCCTAGGCAACCCAGTTGTCCAAAATACAGCCAATTCTACAATTTGGGCATCTATATTTGACACTGGTTGGTCTTTTTCTGAAGCAAAATGCTTTCTCTGGTGGTGAAGTTGCCTGTTTGTATCCTGAGATTTGATGTACTTTTCTTCTAGTTACATTGTTTACATGTTTAATTCCAGTGCGGAATTATTTCAGATAAATAATCGTCTGCAAGTTTACTTAAAATTGTCATGCCTTGAGAAACTAGTGCTTCCATCGATGATGAAACTATCTTAAATGACCACAATTGCTACTACTATATACATGTAAATCTTTTTACTTCCTTCATCTCCATTAATCTCAGCAACTCTACAGATGGGCTAGCAACTACTGTACCCCATTTTTATTTCTAACTATGTTAGGTGACAAGTCATTAGCTGTAGAACTGAGGCAAGGGTTGGGTTCTATGAATAACTCTGACAGTTTGCCAATGAATGTGCATTTATGGGACTATTCCTGTTGCAACAACATTCATTTTCATACTTCTGTCTAAAGCGGGGCCCTCTTGGTCTGAGCCTGCCATTGGCAGGGAGGCAAAGGTGGTCAAGGAGTGAGAGGCTCCGATGCCTTTAAGGGAATCAGGTTTCAGAGCCTCAGCTCACATGCGCTCAGAGTGGATCTGCCGGGGAATGTGGCTGTGATGAGGGACCGGTCCTTGTTCCTGGTGTCCTCCCTCCTGCTTGGCAAAGGGACCCCCCGCATCTTGCTATGATACACTCCTGGATGAGGGGTGAAAGCCTGTGGGAACCAAATGGGGGGACAATTTGGAATATTGGTTTTGGTATTAAGGAAGTAATCAAGAAAGTTAATGACTCTTGTGACTGGCTTTAACAACTTTTTGTAAGTCTGGTGGTTTCCATTTCTTGCCTTACAGCAATATTGTAGGCGGACTTAAATAGCAAGTTGGTTAATAAAAAAGTAAAAATAATTTTGATGAGAGGTTTCTCTGTGGATCTGGTATAAAACCGAGAACGAAGCAGAATGATTGAGTAACATTGCTGTAACAAAACTCTCTCCATTCCCGTTCATTTTTTTTAATATAGACAAGTTTCTTGGCACATAAACTTATAACAATGAAAAGAAAAAGAATAAAATTGATGTTGAGCCCGAACTCGTCCTGGTGGTGAGCAGCCTGGCGTGCAGATGACACGGCTGCCCGGGAGGCGCCAGGCTCGCCCAACACTTGCGCGACGGAGAGCTGCGTCCCCAGCAAAACGTCTCTCTTACGTCACATTCTGTTCGACACTCATTGTGTCTTACATTTTTATCAATTATGGTCTAAAAGTAACTGTGATTATAACCTAATCACAAAACATTCCCATATTGAGAGCCTAGATTTTTAAACAGAAAAAACTTTTTAATTACATGTTCATTTATACACATAATTTATTGTGTACAAAAGTATAAACAATAATAATGTTTATATTTATTTGCCTCACCATGATTAATGCAATACACAGTGGCACAGAAAATACTAGGTTTTAAGTACGTGGGAAAGAAAATAAGAATTCAAAGGGAAAAAGAATTGATGCCAAACTTGAGAGAACTGAAGAACTTGTTTTCAGTGGGTGATGGTCGGTGTTCAGCAGCCACAGTACTTAGACTGCACTGCATACAGTTGAAGGAATGACAGATCCACATTGTTTGAAAATGTCAGTATTTGTCGCATGGTAGAAATTATACCCTTGGCAGTTGTTGAAAGTGACAGAGAAAATTTCTATAAATCCATGTGAAAAATGCATGTGATTGATTTTTACATTTTATTTAAGGAGTGTGTGAGGGAATCTATTTGAAGGTCACTGATCTGCACATGAGATCAGATCAGGCGCCTTGAGGACAGGCATTGCCACATGTCCCCTGCGCACTTCTTTGTCTTCCAGTTTGACCTCGTGTGTGTCAATGCTTGGATGCTGGACCTCACACAAGCCATCCTGAACCTGGGCTTCCTGGCTGGAGCGTTCACCTTGGGCTATGCAGCAGACAGGTAGGCATCACTGGGACAACCCAACGTGTGTGTGTGGAGATGAAATGCTTTCTGTTGACTCAAAGAGCAACAGTCTTACTAGATGCAGAAAACGATGCTAATTCCTCCAGATATTCCCATTTCAGACGTTATTGATGTTCGCTGTTGTATTCTTGCTTAGCTATTCCTTTATCCCAATTCTAACTATGAAAATACTTGTAGTAACTTAATAATTTTCTCCCGTTAGGACAGGGAGAGGAAGCTCTGCCCCTGGGCCATATCTGGCTTAATATGGCTCTGGGCCCTCTCACCCAGCCTGGCAGCGCTAAGGGGACATCCTAGGGACCTGCTCACGGCAATCAATGAGCTAATTCAAGACGACAACATGTCCCAATCCGGTAGCCGGTTGATGATCTGAGTTTGATGAGACCAGGACTTCAGAGTGGGCAGAGCCAAAGTTTCCTTCTCTGATCCTTTGTCCGTCTCTGAGGTTTCTCTTGCTGTTGTCCCCACAACCTTCGTCTGCATGTGACTTTCTCCTTAATCCTTTGTGGCTGATGCTCTTCTCCTGTATTTTATGTGTCGTTTTCTACTGTTTCTACTTCTTAGCCCTGTGAATTTTTCTTTTTTAATCTCTCCACCATAGCATTTTCTCTCCTGGCTGGCTACAATTTGGAATTGAGTTATGCAATTTTAGTCTGTATTTCCTTAATTTTGTTTTTACTCTGCTTAATTTAAACAGTAGGTTTTGCTCCTTCTGCGTGTTTCTCTTGCACAATCCATAAATATGTCTTCAAACCAAAGCCACTGGATGGAAGGCGATACGGCGTTCCCAGCTGAGAATCCGGGAGGACAGAGTGTGTCCTCGGAGACGTCTTGTCCTTGGGAGAGGACAGACCCCTGAGTAATTCTGCCTCCCACAGAGCCAGCCATCTGTCAGCTCCTTCCCTTCTTTACGTCTTTGATGGAAAGAATAACAAACAGTTTAACCGGCCACGTATCTCTGAGAAGGCGCTGTGGGAAGGGCAGGGACTGAACTTAAAATCCGAGCCTACTTCCATCTCCACTCCGCTGGCTGAAGCAAGATGATTCATATGAGGATTTGGTGGCAATTTCTAGGGAAAAGTGTGATGAAATCACATCTCTTAAAAGTCATTGATGATAAACTTGCACCAGCCAATAATTTGGCACAACTCTACGGAACCATTTAACATCAGATTCTCAGATTTTTTGCACCTGACGCCTTGTTCCCTTTTCCTGAGCTGTTTAATCGTATTATGTGAATGGTGAAAATAAAATACCAAACTTAGGGACAACTAACTTACGTCGGCTTGAGCTTCATACAGACCTTCCCATTAGCATCTCGTTTGACCCTCTAACCACAACCTCCCCGTGGGAAGGTAGCAAAAATACACACATCTGTACGCACGTATATGGACATATACATCCAGGGTCCGGCAGAAGTGAGGCCTGCTGGAGTGTAGCTGGTAGGGCAATGATATAGGTATAATAATTTATAGCTTTAATTTGAACATTTCACCTAAAACGTCACCTGTGTGCGTGAGTGTCATATTGTTATGTTACAGAAGGACATAGCAATAATAAAAAGGGGGCTCTATGTGTGCTGGCCCCTGCGTCTGTGCATAGATATATGTATTCCAGGAGATGAAGCTGCAGCCCAGACCTTCTGTGGAAAACGAGTCCAGTTGGATGGGTGTGTCCAGAAGGTATCCAGCCATGTACTATGAAAAACAGGGCCATTTCTTAAAGAAGATACAAGATAAAAGAAACATTGTGCATAGGACAATGATGCCTCAGTCCCTTTCAAAGTAGGCCCCTTGGGGCCTCACACAGGTCTCCCAGTCGCCACCAGCTGCCCCATCGTGTTTTCCTGAATCTCATCGATGGTCTGAAATCTCTTCCCTATCAAGGTGATTTAGATTTGGAAAACGTCAGAAGCCACAAGGTGCCAGATTTGTGTAATAGAGGGGCTGAGTCGTCTGGGTGACTTGATGTTTCGCCAAAAAACTGCACAAAATGTGATGCCTGACTGGACACAGTCATGATGAAGCTGCCAATCACCAGCTACCCTCAACTCTGACCTTCTGGATCACCTGAATAGTTTCCACGGAGGAATGTTCAAGCTTAACGCAAAATTGAATACAGACTTGTTGCTCTACTCAGTCGTTTTGAATGTGACAGCCACACAGTACACATGCTCATTCAATGGCGTCTACAGCCCTCACTAACTAGTACAGTGAAGTTGTCATTGTTCATGCATGAGCAGTCCAGTCCACTCTCCTTGGCTGCCGGGTTACATCAATCTTGTGCAAACCGATCTTGGTATATTAACAATGGCTGGACTTTCCGGACAGGCCTCATCATACATACGAACAAAACAACAGAACAACAGAAGCAAACAAAAACCTGAGTCTTGGTGACCTTAAGAAGTGTACCCCCAGAGTTGTCCTTCAACCCCTTTTAGCAACACTTACACTGATAGCCTTTTTCATTGTGTAGGAGACAATGTTTAAGGTGATCCTTCCTCTCTCTTTCTCACAAAGGTACGGCCGAATAGTCATTTACTTAATATCCTGTTTCGGTGTTGGCGTCACTGGTGTGGTGGTGGCATTTGCACCAAATTTCCCTGTGTTTGTGGTCTTCCGCTTCTTACAAGGCGTGTTTGGAAAGGGGACATGGATTACTTGCTATGTGATTGGTAAGATGTTGCTACACCTCCTTGTCTGTTTGGGAACCAGGGTTAGGTGGGTGAGAAGTGTATAGGGAGGTTTCATGCTGCCACAGTAATTATTTCTGCAAATATGGGGGTGCAAGGGCAAGATTCTGTCTCTTTAGATATTGAAATGCCACCTTACTTTGTGGACCACATATGGAATATCACAGAATCCCGGGGTGACCCCTTTGTAGCACTACGATACTGTCATCCCGTGATTATTTTTTTTTTGCTTTCCTTTATGAGAGATTAGTTTTTATTAAAGTTTCAGTAGGTCCTTGAAACATTGTAAAAGAATTTTCTGTGTACCTCTGTGATAGAATTTAAGATGACGCTTCTGTGTTCTTTTCCTTCTGTGTAAGTGGAGAACTTTTCACCACACCGGAGATAGGAACTGAAAGTGAGAAGTTCATTTGTGAACCTTTTTTATCTTCCATAACTAGAAAGTTTGACTTCTGGGTATGGAAGAAAGAAAGCCTTCCCTTTGCTCTTTGCTCATGTTACTGGGAAAGTCCTGGCTGCTGTCTTGGGCTCTATTTCCCGTGGTGCCGATGTGGGTCACCTGCTCGAAAAGTCATGGTGGACTTGGGACCAGGGAGATTTGAACACCCCACTTTGATTATCATCCCAGATTTTGGGGCTTCTGTTCTCTCATCCTACACAGTTCCTCCCCAAATGGCACCCACCTTAGAGACCGTTTGGAAGTCTTTTTATGGACAGGAAAGGAGAGAGTTAGAAGGGTTGACTGTCGCTGGCTGGGGCAGAAGGGATAACTGAAATATGAAGCATTTTTAAGGAGGCCCAAATCTGGTGAATCTTAAAAGCTGTGCCCTTAGGGCAGGAAAGAGAGAGCGTATCCCAGGAGGATCAGAGCGGAACAGGCAGCAGATAGAAACCGATGAACAAGGAGGGAGGAGGGGGGAGGCCGCCAGCAATAGTGCTCCCCACGCGATTTTTAAAGAAATATCACACACACGAAATGGCCAGCCCTGTGGAGAGAATTACCATTTGATGGAAACTATCTTGTGATAGCAAAAAATTATTTACAGAGTCTAATATTCATAATGAATCTCCTAAAGAGACTATAATATGCATCTCTTTAAAGGTCAGTGATAAAATCTAGCAAGTGCAGTATATTTATGCTTTTGTAATTATGCAGTATAATTACAATAACCTTCCAAAACAGTCATCATTGAAGCCTTCTTAAAACGAGCACCGACATTCTTTGCGTGCCCGAAGAATGCCGGGCCGGGGTGTCGGGGAGCGTGTGCTCGCTGATGACTGGCAGGGAGGCGCTCAGAACACCTTGCTGGCGTGCGAGCCTAGCGGCTTGGGGAGTTCCGCTGGGGTCCAGTGCCACGGAGGATGCGACAGGTGCGGTTCCTCCCCTCTGCTGGTTTATTTTGGAGCCGAACTTGAGGTTCCCTGACTTCTGTGTTTGTTTTCCTTTAGTGACGGAAATCGTTGGTTCAAAGCAAAGGAGGATTGTGGGAATCGTGATTCAGATGTTTTTCACCCTTGGAATCATAATTCTCCCTGGAATCGCCTACTTTATCCCCAACTGGCAGGGGATCCAGCTGGCTATAACGCTGCCCAACTTTCTCTTCCTCCTTTATTACTGGTAATGCGGTTTTTCATCATTATTGAATTTATTTTTATTCCATGGAAGTGTAGAATCTATGCTTCTAAACCAACATGAATATGAAAATAATTGAGGAGGTATTCTAAGATCTCCAGAATAGCAGTGGGCTTTGAGAATTTCTAGAGCATTTGAAAAACTGGGAGAGTTTATTTATTGATTATTTGACTGATAGTTCTTATTAAAATAATAAAATACCAAAACACAAAATTCTAAATAGAATATTAATTGTTTTATTTTGTAATATCTTCATGAAAACTACCAGGCAAAAAACCTTATCTGCCAGTATTTCAGCACAAAAGAAATGCAGTGACATCGATCTGCTGCTCTGTATATTCTATTAAGCAAATTAATATTGCTCAGCAATTCTTGGAGGAGTAAGACAACGTTAAGAATATGAGAAAAGTAATCAGAAAGCTACAGGTATATGCATTTGACTCTTCAAGGAGTGAACGTATTTTAATCATTCCTCTGATTTAATTTTTGACTTTATTCTGTTGCTGACACTAGCACAGACGTCCCCATTTCCCCCCTTTGCCCGCCCCCACCTGTCTCCCGCCCCCGCCCCCGCCCCCCCGACCCCCACCCCCCCGGCCTGCGCCGCACTGTCGTCTGCGTCTGTGGGTCACGCATCTGTGTTCTTTGGCTCATCCCTTCACCTTCTCTCATCCGGTCCCCTTCTCCCCCTCCACCCCCCCGCCCCCGCCTTGCTCTCAGTCTGTTCCATGTATGTGGTCAAATTAGTTTACCTAATTTGGGTTCCTGACTTTTTCCTGAATGCTCACTAAAATCCAAGGTCTTTGCACATATGTAATCAAGGACACTGTACTCTAGGATAGCCTGGTTTTGTAAAAACAATGTAATATTTAATTATATTTATTATGTTCAGTGATCCATTTATCAATGAGCATTTTTTTTCCTTCCATGATCAGCTTGCAAAGATAATCTGTGTTTTTGAGAGCCTATTCTAAATGCGAAGATTCTCTTAAACTTTTTATCTAATTGCAAGATCCATTTTGATACAGACACTAGAGTCATAAAAGTTTAGGTTTTTGAAATTCCTGCTCCTAACTCAAAAATGCTTTCCCCTTGCCAGGGCAGTTCCCGAATCTCCCCGCTGGCTGATTACTCGGAAGAAAGGTGACAAAGCACTAAAAATTCTGAGGAGCGTTGCCAAATGCAATGGAAAATATCTCTCGCCCCATTACTCAGAGGTAATTTTATTTATCACTAGTAATAAGGGTTGTTCCGGTGGGTGAATTTGTCACTTATGCGCATATTATCAAACATCTGACTAAATTATGTTTAGTTTGTGAAGTTTTAATAGCATTATAGTTGAGGTTCATTCATCATTTAGTCCATATTTTAATAGTGGCACCAAGTTACTTGAATTATTATACTTCACTTACTGTAGGCCCCATTGTAGTTAATCATTCATTCATTGTAATTGAATGAACTATACCTCTTTTCTTGACATTCAATTTAGTCTAAAGATGTGTCTTTAAATTTAGTCTCAGAAGGGCTATGCATTTGAACCAGAGCTTGAACAAGAATGTAGTATTTCCAACTTCAGACTTGCTCTCTTGCCTTCCTTCCCCCTCTCTGGTTCCTCCCTTCCTCCCTCCCTCCCTCCCTCCCTCCCTCTTTCTTTCTTTCCTTCCCCTGGCAAAGGCTTTTGAGTGCCTCTGTGTCACTGCTCTAAGAGAAATTGGGGGGATTAAAAGCTCATTATGTGTCCTGTGGAAGATTTGAAAAGCAATTAAAGATATACACTACCGGTATATTTGGAGCAAGCCCTGAGTAATGAGAAATAGCATATAAAAATAGATGGCCATGCATAGCTGCAAAGACTGAAGTGAATGCAGAATTACAGAAGGGCTTTTACTAAAAGAGTATCAGGGAATTTCGGGGAGATGGGACTCTTTGATATACACCGTCAAGAACGTTAGGTTGCTGACATTGTTTTCTTCGTAGCATTCTGTGTGCTCTGATAGAAGTGTTCTGAGAAACACCGAGGTTTTGTCAGCTTCAGCGGTACCTCTCTAGCCCTCCAGGACGCGGTCAGCTCTGTCTGGGTTTCTGCTGTCTTCCTTCACTCTTACACTCAGCTGCGAGCAGTGACTTCTTCTGTCCCTGTTCGAAGGAGGTTCATGATGGACCTTGAGGTTTATGGATCATAAAGTAGATGGTGACGATAAAGCCCAGTGTGTTTCAACCACTTAGACTAGTTGACCTGTGCTCTTCGAGCACAGCTGAACTGTGTATTCCTTTGGGGGAAAAATGTTCCACGGCCTTCTCAGGTTCTCTCTCATCCTGTTAGCTGTCGGTCTTTACAGCTGGGTCCAGCGTGTGATCCTTTATACTCAGTTTTATGAGTCAAATGAATATTTTTGCTGTTATTTACGAGTGTCCTGAAGACATTGCGTATGTCGTACCAGAACTCAGCTAAGCATATATAAGATCCAACCCAGAGTTTTTCATGGAAAAAATAGTGTGTGCAGGTGGCTTATGAGATAAAATGTACAGTAACTGAACACGTGCAGGGTTCTCACGAGTTGCTCAGAGGCCAGAGGATGGTCCCCAGAGCAGCTGCTGTGGCATGTCCTCTGAGCGTCTAGTTCAAGGCCACTTCCGTGGGGCCACTGGCCCGCTTCTAGTTCTTGAGCACCACATAGGTCGCTCCCACGGGGAGGGAGGTCGATGCTCTGCATGGTGGTGCTTGTCAAAGGTCACGGGCGTCCAGTCCAGTGGCTTCCCACACCTGCCCACTCTAGGCAGACAGGTAATCCCTGTTTGAGGTCGGACTCCAGCCTCCCTCAGGAATTTACCCTGGTGTTCTAGCTACCTCTGTCAGCATTTCGTTGCCAAAGCCGAATGTGGGTGTTTAGTGTGTCTGTTTCTGTTTCACTCTATTCTTTTAAAAAATTTTCTGTGGTGGACACTTTCAAGCATATTCAAAAAGAGAAGAGGATTTGATGAACCTCCTTATGCACATCACCCAGGCCCAGCAGTGCCCAGCGCAGGCCCAGTCTTGTTTTCTACACCCCACCTCTGTCTGCAGCCACCAGTGAAGAGCCTCAGCCCGGGGAGCCTGCCTTTCCTCTCGCCCTGTTTCCAAGCGCACCTATAAAAGAGAAACACACAGATGTTCACTTGCCTCTGGGGCTACGTGTGCACTGTCTTCAGGCTTCTGCTAAATAAAAGGCAGAGGATGTCCAGTTGAATCCAAATGATCACACATTTGATCCAACTGCGAGGACTGGACCATTGAGCCAATGTCATCCACGCACATCGGGATGGCCATGGCGGGTGAAATATGAAATTAGAACTAATCTCAATATCGCTATTTTTTTAAATGACCATAACGTCTTCACATGAAATATCAAGTCAGTGTTTCCAATTCCCTGATTGTCTTAGAATGTTTATAACTTGTTTGTTTGAATTAGGACCCTAATGGCTTTTATATACGGTGATTGGTTGATAAGCCTCTTTGGTCTTTACAAGTTCCTGCTCTTTTTTTTTTTTTTCTTGCAACTCCGGGGGTGAAGAATACTGTTAGGGGTTTTTACTGCTGCAGAGCTTTCTGCAACCTAAATTTTGTTGCTTAGATCTCTGAGGATCCTTTCACATGTCTCTTATGTTCCCTGAAAATGGTAGTTAGATCTAGTGCTTTAATCAGGTTCAGGTTTGATATTTTTGGCAAGTCACTTATGAGTGACTCAGTGCATTTCCTTGAAGAGACACTTAGTGTCTGCCTGTCCCTTCTTGCGTTTGTAAACTGCCACCGATAATCATTGCCCAGATTTATTAATTCATCAGAGGGTGCAAAAGGACAGCACCTCATTTTAACATGATTTCTTCATTTGTTACCTGAACATTTACATAAAGACCAACTCCTCCCATCGCCTGCTCGGCGACTCTGGCATACAGCGCATAAAGAAGAAAGCAGGGCAGAAGCATAATTTTTTTTCTTGTCACAAGAATGAGTTGACTCCTGACATCCTCCCACAAATGATCAATGTGTTCTGTGCTGTGGGTTTTAAGCCTCATTATGAACTCCTGAATTTGAATGTGCAGTACAGACTTCACTCCGCTGCAGTCTGTCGTTATTGTTGTTCTTGCCGACGCTCGCACTGTCCACCTTTGGGCAGCCGAGGCTCATCCCCGTTGGCTCCTGCGTCTCTCTGCCCTACCCCCTAGTAGCGTCTGAATGCTTCCTTGCTTGTCAGCGTGATGAGATTTTCCACGCTTGTCTTGTAAGTTTCAGCCTCACACGTGGAACCGCCTACTTCTCAAAGGTGCATTGAGCTTTTTAAACAAATGTCTTCAAACTAAATTGATCCGTCTCCAATGCTTCTCAACTGTACAGCATAAGCCAGAAAGCAAAGTACTGTCTTCAAAAAGAGAAGGAATTACCATTTCAGTTTAGAACACCTTGCTAATTGCTGAATTATAGGCCAAACTACAGTTTTCTATTTCAGACATTCTAGTGGTCCCACAAAGCTCAGTCATGGGCAGAATACCACCTTATGGAACTCAGAAGTCATGCCAGTAGCACAGACACTGTATGCAAACGCCAGCACTAAAAACAAAGCAGGATTCTGTTGTTGTTTTTGCGTCATGATATCAATTGCTTTTGTTTGGTGACTCGAATGACCACTGGCCGTGTCAATGTTAGGCTCACCTTGAACCTTATGTTGACATAGTCACTTCAAATCTTCACAGAGTCCTTTTGTTGCCTTGGCGGGTGTCCCCGCTCTCTGGATATAACCTTAGGGACCCTCAGGCCCAGGGTGGATGACCCTGTGCTCACCCTTTTCACAGAATATCTTCTCAGTAAATCCTCCCTTTGGGAAGAAGTTATCACCAAATAAATTCCCTCATCCTTCAACACCTCTCCAATGACTACCTTGTGCTGAGGGTGCACATCCCAGGCTGTAGAGAAGGATAGAATGAATCAGAACCTGCTTGGATGCCAGGCAGTCCTAGAAAGCGGGCAGCTCTGTGTCCCCATCTTGTCACAAGAGCCTCACCAACCTCCCCACCTGAGCCTGTTCCATCGCTGGCGCAGAGGTCCTGGTCTGTTTTAGGGGCACCGAAGGGCCTAGCTCAGAGCGACCCAAGGACGCTCCCTGCTGCAGAAAGGACCCTAACTTCCCTGCAAACTGGGGTTGCCAGTCCGCTGGGCTTTAGTGAAGGGAAGGACGATTTGGGAAATACCAAATGTTCAGAAATAACCCAACTAGAATTGATGAATCACTTTAGTAATTAATAATGAGTAATTACTAATCAGTCACAAGTAGTAATTAGTAAAAGTTTCTTGTGCACACACTAGAAAGACAGTTGCAGGCTGGGAGCAGGAAATGAGGCTCGGGGCTATATTGTTATAAAGCAGTTTATATTGTGACAAGGTGGCTCAATTTGGCCACTCGAATAACTACAGCCCTTGTCAATGGCTGTGCGTTCTTCACACTGATTGGTTATAATATTGAATTTTCTAAAATAACAGAGAATTGGTCAGAAGTGACAGCATATCAGCCTTTAGGGACAGCTGAAGTTTTGCTTAGGGTTTCCAAGGGCATAAGCAAGAAATGACCCAGGCCAAGTTAGTCTGACAAAATAAGCTAAATAAAGCTTTGTTTGTATGATTAAACTTGTTTCATCTGCTCAGGGAATTTTCAAGGCTCATCTTCATTTGTTTTTAATTTTAATGGAAGAATATAGGTACAGTGGATTTGATCCAACATTCAACCAGGTAGATTATTCTGAGAGCCGGTTGTCCTGTAAATAGTATCAGTTATATTGCGCATGGATGCTACTCATCTCGTGGGTGGATAATCTCTGGCCCTCTGTCTCACTGCTTCCATTTGCTGAAGTTCCAAAGTTCCTGGCTGGTCCGTGACTGTGTTGAAGGGATAGCCAGAGAGGAGAGATGCTGGTGATCAGAACACCAGGCTCTCTGAATATACCAGTAGTGTGACTCATTCACTGCAAAGAAAAGCCCCAAAGCAAAAACCAATGCAAACAGGCAAGGGGGTGGGGCTCATAAGAAGTTATGTAGCAAGACTGGAAAGGATCAAAGGGTGGGCAGAACGTGAAACGCTAGGTAGCCACCTGACACAGAAGGAGGATTCACTTGGACACCTAACCCTGGTTCCATTGCCAGAGGAGGATTGAGTGAGTCAACAAATTTTAGGCTACCTGGATGACATCA